CTTTGTTTACATTTTGAACTCACTGCTACAGTTGTAAAATATGATTAGATATATATTATACTGAATTTTTAACACTTTTCTGGTTCGTTATGCTTGTAAATGAATACAGACTAGAGATTCAATTCAAGAAAGTTCGGGAGGTGCGAAATATTAACAACATTCCAAAGGTTGCTCCCCCACTGATGGAATGTTTTGATGCGCAGAATATATGCGCAGAACGGACTTTACCGCATCTTTAACGTTTTGCGATGTTGATTGAAGATTTAGTTAATAATTAACTAACCTTTTTGCCAGTGATTCAAGAACGATTGAACTGGACGGACGGTCTTCTGCATCCCATTCCCAACACTTTCTGTAGACATCGTACAAAAGACTCGAAAACGGGTCAGGGTTTGGAAGTAGCTTCTTGTCCATCACCAAAGCGGTCACCTATTGCAATTACAGTCAAGTATTAAAAAAAAATGCAAGAAAAAGTTAAAAACTTGATATATAAAAAATAAAAAATATCCAAGTGTGTAATAACTGCAATCAATTTAAGTCTATGCTTGTGATACCTTCGAACTTCGGTTGAAAAACAATTGCCTACAGCCACCGGTCCCGGTAAGACTTGTTTACTTTCTCAACGTTGCATTGTAAGCTAACTTAGTATAATCAGTAAAGAAATACTAAAAAACAATCGGCCTCAAACAAATTTAATACCTCGTTATCCGGTACTCTGCTGTAAGGAAGAACGTCTTTCCTATTTACGCCAGGTAAACTGTTCGCTAATTTCAAGAATTCCCACACGCTCCTCCAAAAGACCAAACATCACTTTTCTTTGTGTAAGAATGGTAGTTTAAAACTTCTGGTGCATTCCTGGAAACAAATTGAATAATTAAAGTTATTTCAAATTTTCTAATATATCAAACTGCAGCATTTCTGTTGAAGAATCTACTACGGTGTGCTTACGCAGCTTCTATGCAATGATCATATAGATAAATCATATAGATATATAGATAAATTTGTTTTAAGGTAAGAATTAAAGAATCATAATCAACAATTTTCAATGTACTAATGCGTAAACAATATTCAATGTAGGCTACTAGTGTTTATTAAACATGAATGCAATTTCTACGATGTATAAAATAAGAGCTATATTTCCAGCAAAAGTTTTTTAATATGTTTGGTATTGCTACTATTATAGGACCAAAAAGTTCGAATGTGTATGATTGACCTGTTTGCTGCAGTAATTTATGTTCCTTGAATAATTGATATATATTACTCAAGTCTCAACAGTTGACGTTGGCAAATCCAAATCTAATCCATGCATTATAAATATAAACAATTTACAGAAAATTTGCTTCATGTGATTTTATATACAATAAAGTTTTGAAAAACTGTCAAAATTCTATGAGTATGGATCATTGACATATATATGATTTCAATGTAAATGTTAACTTCTATATATATTGTTTATTGTTTAAATTTGTATGCTATATATATGTCAATGGTATGGATTGTGACAATACCTGCTATCCTGACTCTATGGCATCTAAAATGTTTTGCATATCTCGATTATATGGCGATGATAAAGAAGATTGTCAAGTTATCAGTGTGACATCCCAGTTTATGAATCAACATTATGATGTCACAACTCAGTTGACCTATTAAGGGAACCTTTGTTACTGTTATGGTAATAATTCGAAATACTACTGCAAGTGGAATTTATCGCAGCTATTTCATTCAATATGAAAACTAGACCTGAAAACTTTGTTCTACTGTATATAATATATGTTAGTGATATTAATTTGAAAAGTATTCTATTTTGTGCAAGTGTAATATTGTTTGAATGGAATTTGTATTTCGTGACTGCATGATTATTCGTTATGATCATAATGACATTGTAAAATTAGTATGTTAAATTCTCTTTCCCCTAATAAGTGATGAAATATATATTTCAATTATTCATTGGTGTCACAGATGTACATCTGTCTAAACTAAAACAGCTACAAAATACAGCAGCACGTCTTATCTGTTCTATCCCTAAACATGATCACATCATTCCGACTCTCATCAAATTACACTGGCGTCCTGTTCGATTAAGGATCAAGTTCAAAATTGCCATGCTTGCTTTTAAATGTATCCATCAGTATATGCACCTCTCTATCTTGTCAATCTTTTAAAAGTAAGAAATACATCGTGCTATAGTCTAAGATCTAACGAAGGCACATTGCTTGAAGACTATAGTACAAAAACAAAGAAAACACTCGGCGACAGAGCATTCGTAACCTCCACTCCAAAAATCTGGAATGAATTACCTATGTATATAAGAAATCAGCATAACATTAGTATTTTCAAGAAATTAGTTAAGACTTATTATTTTCAAGAAGCCTTTAATGTAAATACTTCATGTAACATATAATCTATATAATCTTGTTTATATTTTTTAGAATAATTTTAGTGTAATTATGCTGTGATGCGCATTTGATCATATGCTATAACATGTTAATTTGCGCAATATAAATATTAAATATTATTATTATTTTTATTATTATTCATTTCCTTTCAAGAAAATACTAAATGTGACTCCAGTTTTGCGCAGATACATGTACGCATAGCGTACCTATTTTTTGCTTATGCATTTATTTCCTATTTTTTTTGCTTACACAATGTTTTTCTCACACGTACAAATTAATTGAATTAACGTATTTTGTATTTCAAAAGATGTTTAAAATAAAAAGAAAGCAAGTGCGAATTGTATGATTTTAGTAATTAACTCAAATAATCTATGGTTAATTATGGACAAAATTAAAAGAAGTATCGCTGTTGTCACAAATGGATATTTCAAAACATTTTACGAAGAGTCAAAGTTCGAGTTTTACATTTAATTGAAGCGTAGCTGGTACACAATAACATACTTGCATCATATATTTAAGAAATTGACAGTGCTATCATGCATAAATAGCACTATAATCTTACTAAATTTGAACATTCTTAAAAGTACAAAAATAATCGTATTACCATGGCTACAGCTGACGCCAGCTTGACACGAACAAGCATTTAGTCATAAGGCCTACTCTGGGGCGGTAAATCGCCTTAAATCGCTGCGATATAATGCGATTTTAGGCGATTTAAGGAAAAACTGGGACTTTCAAGCACTGCGATTTAATGCGATTTTAGGCGATTTAAGGCGATTTAAGAGAAAATTCTAAATTTTAGGGATTGCAATTTAGACCTGTGTTTTCAAGGTAATTGAATTTTATATTTTGCTCCGGTTTCCTCCCACAAGGCAAAATATGGCAGGGTGGGTTAGAATAAACACTGCAGTTAGAAAAGTGATATCATATTCTCATTGTTATAAAGATAAATAGTCTAGACTAACATAAGTAACCCTAATACTTGATGTAAGCGGTGACTGAAAAGCCCCAAAGGGGAGTGAGCTGAATAATGTAATGTTTTCACACACATATGCATTGTATGAAGCAAAATACAATTATTAGAACATGTATGTACATTTTATATAAAGCTAGGTTAATAATTATTGTATTTAACCCGAATCATATATAAAGCTCAATATTCGTGAACTTTTCATCCATTGTCTTATTTAGAAGCCATTGGAGTTCATCTTGTGGGGTCATGTGGTCATGCATTCATGGCTACATTATATACCACAAATGTTGTAAACAGTTAATAAATATTAGTGATGGGCGATACCGAGTACTCGGTATTCGATACCAGCGATACCACAAACAGCGGTATCGGTATCGATTACTGACGTGGTAACGTTCGATACTTGCACCCTTTTTTAAACGACTTGTTTAATTTCACTTCTTGGTTGAATAAGACTTAATAAACCACTAAAATAACTCTTAATATTCCAAATGTGGTGCGCCAAGTCATGTATAGAAAATATTTATTACGTTTTGGGCTTTTGGTTTAGTTATAGCTTTAGTTAGGTTACATACAGTAATGTAAAATGTTTTTCCGCTGATCGGCAGGTATCTAAAGTAGCCGATACTAGAAATTTAAGTACTCACTACCGGTATCGAAAATTGAAATTTTGTGTTTATTTTGGTATCGAAATAGGTATCGGTATCGGCCGATACCGATCTTAAAAGTATCGGTATCGGTATCGAATTAAAAATCCTGGTATCGCCCATCACTAATAAATATACTCTACTTAAGGGGCATGTACGGTACATAATTGCAAAATACCAACCTATAACTAAACTACACATGTCTTAGGCTAAACTTTAATATTATTAATTGTAAAATATAATAGATATTTGATTTCCAAAAGAACCACAGCCCACAGGGAATAGAAACGCACAATATATTTATACAGTTACAATAAGCTATATTCCTATAAATTACCTTGTCACCCTTGTGAGTGAAATTGTCTTGTTTTGTATCTTGTCAACACTTCTTTATTTAGCTTGCATTTTATTTAAACTGTTTCAACAAACATGTTTTATAAAATTATGTTTGATATCTATATCCAGAAACAGTATTGTCACGCATTCGGAAACTGTCGGCGTAATGCCGTAAAGTTTAATTTACATGAAGTACATCGCATATAAATGGTCGGAATTCTAAATTATTTAAAAAAAATACTAAACAAAATGATATTAAACAAATGGCACACCGCGCACTACATCGTGGTTTTAAAGTGCTACTGTGACGAAAATTCATCATCGAGAAAATTCCCTTTTTTGCTAGCAACGACTTTATTATTGCACCATAAATGCTTGTGTAAAATTTCAGGAGAACATGATTAACAACCACGGAGTTACGAGCATTT